AGTTTCCCTTTCGACCACTCCTCATAGAACTTCAACCCCAAAGCGAAGACGGAGTCATCTGCCATGGCCAGCGGGAGGTAGTATCGAAGTTTCTCTGCCGATTCCTTTCTTTTCTTAGCTTCCGTTGACAGGTTCCAGATAGGCGTGTACGACGTCTTCTTCATTGCCAACGCCATGAACCGCACCCACTTTCGCACCTCGTCCTGTTTCTTCGAGGCATTGCCGAGCACCACACGCGGTTTGCCCTTTATTTTCCAGATATTGCGAATGTCCCGCATAGACAAAACCTGCAAGCGCGGTGGATTCTTCTTGTCTTTCATGTTGTCTTCGCAGCTGACATGGGCGTAGCCGTCGAACTCGTCGTCAGGGAAGTAGATTGGTCTGAACGGCCATTTACAAAAGTTGTAGTAATCAAACACGGGATGGTCTTTCACCATCATCGCCGCCCTCGCGTTATGCTGTCCACACACAGGATAATACAAGTATTTTTCCGGGTGTGAGCTGTCGAAGTCAGCAAGCAGCACGCGCACAGCAGGCTCGCCGTTCTCTTGAGTGAGAACGAAAATGGGCTTCGTGTATCTCATGTCTTTACGTTCGTGGTAGTCGATCATAGCCGACGCGATGGTATCAACGAGGAATTCGCCCAAGGATCGGTGGTTGTACGCGTCTTCCCAGTCTGGAATAGCTAAAATTCTTTCGGGGTGGATGTGCAACACAACGTCCTTCTGCACCCCTGTCTGCATCTCGAGGAAGAACGCATTGTCGAGGTTAAAGGCGTTGAGGTTAATCTCCACGTCATCATCCCCCTCCCCCCTGTCGCCCTCGTATGCTTTCTTCCCCCTCGATGATTTCGCCCTTATCCCGGAAGACTCACCGGTTCTTCGCTGTGTCGACGAGTCCTTTGGCGTTTCATCCCCACCTCCAACCCTTTTTCTCTTCTCAACGGAACCGCCCTCTCGTGTTGTTGGCGTCCGAGCATTCCCTCCTACCTTTCTCTGCCTTTTCAGAGCACCTAGTCCCTCTCGCTCTTCCTCATCCAGCAAGTTGCGCTTGCCTCTCGACTGAGTCTTTTCAGCCGATCTCTCACCGAACAGCCCCTGCTCGGACACCTCCTCCTCACCGGCGACGTTCCCACTTGCTTCTCGTTCCTGGCTCAACTCCGTCTGTAGTTCCCCAGGCGCTGGTCGGGCCCGACGAGTCGTCTCATCTGACCCACGCACCTCTCGAACCTGCGGACCACCCGCTCGATCTCCAGGCGAAACCTCGGCCACCTGCATGCCACGAACGAACGAACCGATCCTTTCGACTAGACCACGAGGAGTCGTCGATTCTTAGCCCTGTCGCAACCGTTCGCCATCGCCGCCTCCGTGTGGCGTCGACTCCCCAAGCAAACCGTGGCGGCGAGATACATGCAAGCCCGGTTTCAAAGGAGCACGCGGATGGTCGTCCTCCGAGTCGTCTGACATGCCCACCTCTTGATCAGGAGGCGTTGCTGGCAGGCCGCCCTGACCTCCCATCTCCCTTTCAGAGCACTCTCCTCCCGCGAACCCAACAGGACCACTGATCGATGTTCCAGGTCCGACGTCCACGGCACTGACA